TCACGAGGGCTCCTTGGTGTCAGGTGCTGTGATAAGATAGGGGACCCAGCTTCACCTCTGCCTCCCCTGCTGTATCCTCCCCCGCTTCCCCTGCTCACCCATGACGAGTCTGATAGATACAGTCTCTGCCCTGAGCCCAGGGCCCTTCTGGCTAATCGTCCCTATTTGTCCTCAGAAGCTGGTTCAGAGCTCTGTACCCGGAGAAGCCTAATGGGAACCCTGTCCCCTCCTGAGCCCCTGCCAGGTACCAGGCAGCAGCTGGTAGACCCTCTAAATCCACCACAGCTGCCTCAGACTCTCTGGGAGGAAGGCTCTGTGACAAGCCCCTTTTCCTCCCACATGTGGAGATCCACAGGCTAGCTACTGGCCAAGACTCTGCTTCTGTCCTACGTCCCTTAGTAACTGTTTAATTCTGAAGTTGTCAGCCTCTTTGACCTCTCAGCCCCAACCTCCTTTGGAGGTCAGGGCCAGCGCACCCTGGGAAATTTCCCAGCACCAACATCTCATTTCTCCCACCCCCAGCTCTGGTCACCACCACTCAATTGTTCAGCTTTTGTAGATTCCACAAGAAGTGAAGTCATACAGTATTTGTCTTGCTTTGTCTGATATTTTATGTAGTATAATACCCTAAAGGCTCATTCAAGATGTTACAAATAGCAGGATTTTCCTTCTTCTCACAGCTGAATGATATCCCAGTACAACATCTTCTTTGTCCATTCATCCACTGACAAACCCTTAGGTTGTTTCCATGTCTTGGCTATTGTGTCCTCCTGCTTCCTACACTGTGCCTGGGTCACACCCACTCCACCGGTTTTGCACAGGTGAAGATTTCTTATGAAGTTCCCACCCCAATCCTTTCAACCCAACCACTGCTGAGCCTGCAATTCTTTCACCTAGAGTCTCCTCTCTTCCCCTACTCCTCCATCCACTACCAACTCCAAAATACCCCTCAAGCCAAGCTCCCACCTCCCCATCCTTGGCACATGCCTCCTGAGTCCCTCCCCCACCTGATGTCACCTTCCTCTGGCACCTCTGTGGGAGATGGGATTTGTCATCGCATTGCCATCCCATGTTCACTTGCAGTGTTGAACCATTAAAATGTGTCTAGATCCTCAATAATCAGAGCTTTAAAAGACATCTCTTTGAGCCAAAACCGGTTTGGCTCAGTGGTAGAGCATCGGTTTGAAGACTGAAAGGTCGCAGGTTCGATTCCGGTCAAGGGCATGTACCTGGGTTGCGGGCATATCCCTAGTAGGGGGTGTGCAAGAGGCAGCTGATTGATGTTTCTCTCTCATCAACGTTTCTAGCTTTCTATCCCTCTCTCTTCCTCTCTGTAAAAAATCAATAAAATATATTTAAAAATAAAAAAATAAAAAATAAAAGACATCTCTTTGAATGACTGTAATTTACATCTCTGGGCTCCTGAGCCTGGCACAAAACCCACCAGAGGGCGAGTGGGACCCTCATCTCCTGCAGAACTTCTTTGTGAGGGCAGCTCAGGGGGACAGGAAAGACATACACAGTTATAATTCATTCTCTGATATGACCACTGTCCTACATTGAGCACCTACTGTGCCAGGACAGGCATGAAATGGCCAACAAAGCAGATAAGGCCAGAGCTCAAGAATTTCTAGTCCTATGGGCCAGCAGGTATAAACAAACAAGCACTAACTTCCCTACAGAATCACAGCCTTTGACATAATAGATGATACATTTAAAAATATATATTTTATTGATTTTTTACAGAGAGGAAAGGAGAGGGATAGAGAGTTAGAAACATCGATGAGAGAAAAACATCTACCAGCTGCTTCCTGCACACCCCCTCCTGGGGATGTACCAGCAACCAAGGTACACTCCCTTGACTAGGATTGAACCTGGAACCCTTCAGTCCACAGGCCGACTGAGTCAAACTAGTTTCGGCATAGATGATATTTTTAAAATTTATCTTCTAGTTGTTTATAGTAGATTCTAGAGGCCTGGCACATGAAATTCATGAGCAGGTACGGTCCCTAGGCCTGGCCTGAGATCAGGGCCATCTTCCCCCACTGCCAGCAGCCAGCCTCGCCCCCACTGCCACCCACCCCCAGTTCCCCCTTCACCATTGGGCAATTGGAGCCTGCTGGCTGGGTGAGGGGGGAGAAAAGTGGGAAGGGACCGAAAGGTTGATCAGCAGGTCCCACCAATTATTTGGCCTTTATGCCCACTAAGCCCCCCATTCATTTACCATGTTCCCCACAGGCAAGAATTTCTATGTGTTCTGAGTGTTTCTGTTCATAAATGTGCTTGAGAAACATGTGTTATTTCCTAGGAAATACATTTCACTGAGTGGCTCACACAGTGGCTTCTCAGGGCACAGCATGGACCCGCCTGGCGGTGGTTTTCTCCTCGTCTCTGTCACATTTCTGTACGCCTGGTCTTCCTGGTACCCTGGGCCAGCCTGTCTCAGGTCAGGGTCTCACCAAAGCCTCCTCACCAGGCTTTGCCTCAGCCTGGGTCATGGCACTTCTCCAGAGCTGCCTCCTCCCACCGTGCGCTTGTAAGAAACAGGTCCCACCTCCGCACTGCTCCATGCCGACCTCAGAACCACACCCGGAGGCTGCTGCGGTGACAGTCTCTACTGCCTGCCCATCCTCCTCACAGAGTGTGTGACAGGGAAGCGAGCACCATGGACAGGCTCGCTCATCTCTCTGCAGGCCAAGCCCTCCATCCACTCTGTGCATCCAGCCATCGGACAAATACAGCCCTCACCCCACCCCCAGCGCCAGGCTGTGTACACAATGCAAGTAGGCAGAAGGACGAAACAGACCGGGCCTATGGCACCAATGCCCGGCGGTCAAGTGCACGCTCTGAGATAGAGAAGCCGCTTAGCAGCCAGGTGCCCTGGGGCACATTCCCAACCCTCCTTGGGCCACAGGTTTCCCCCATGGCACGTGGGTTTCCGCGGCCGTGTGCCTGGGTGGCCTGTGGTACGGAATGACGATGGCAGTGCAGTGACAGCGCAGTAGCTGATGGATGAGGAAATGACAATCCTACTGGATGGGTGCCACGTGCCCAAGAACTGAAGGCCCCGGTTTGGGGGACTGCCAGGGGGGAAGAGGACGGGACCCCACTTTGCTGAGCCATGGGGAAACCAGGTGATGTCACTCGAGGGGAGGTTTTGGAGGCTTTGCAGACAAAACGACTAAGGTAGAGAGTTGCTCTGCTGGTCTTTATTCCCGGCCCAGCAGGAGCCCATAGGCTCTGTATGAACAATAGAGAGAGAAGGAAGATCCTACAGAGAGAGAAGGAAGATCTTGCTTCTCCAGGGGGGAGGAAGGTATAAAATTCTGAATTTCCACTTCAAATATAACCTGAGTTAGAGGAACTCTGCCACCTGCAGACTGCACCTCCCTCTCCTGAGCAGCACCTGCGGCTTTCGGGGAACGGGAGAGCAGAGCCCCCTGTCGCCCCACAAGCTCTGGGGTTGGTGGTAATTGGGGCTCTGCTTCTGCCCTGGGGCATCCTTTCCCTGTGGAGAGAGCAGCCCTGGGGCCTTGGGCCAGGCCCAGAGCCCAGGAGCAGGCTGTCCGCGCCAGGTGAGGCATCCGGCTACTGCCCGCCAGAGCCGGCTCTGTGTGCCAGGGAAGGAGCCCAGTCTTTAGTGCCCATGGGCCCATAGTGGTCCTCCCTGAGCCTGTGGTCTGGTGCTGGGATGAAGGTAGAGGCCCAGGCTGAGGACAGGTGGGTGGGTGGTGCCAGAGGCCCAGGCTGAGGACAGGTGGGTGGGTGGTGCCAGAGGCCCAGGCTCAGACAGGTGGGTGGGTGGTACCGGCCATGGGTGGAGAGGCAGGTGAGCGGACAGCTTCTAAGACCCTGTCATACTGAGAATGCCTTGGGTTCCTCGGGAGTGGACCTGCCACCCCAGAAGCCACCTGGCAACGCAGGAATCTCCCGTAACATCTCGGCCAACTTGTCCACCACTGGGATTCAAGCCCTGCCCCCGAGGTCACATTGAACATTAGACGTGAGGGACGTGGGACTGGACTGGATTCGAGCCACTGACCCGAGGCCCACACAGCCCAGCCTGAGCCTGAGCCTGAGCCTGAGCAGCAGGGGCTGGCTTATACAGTTGCCTCCTACTCCAAACTCCAGCCCAGCCAGCTCACCCTGAACCATCTCCTGGTGCCAATGTGGCAAATGGAACCGCTTTGCTTCTGCCCTGACTTTGCAGGTTGCCCAGGGCTCCCCAGGAGCCGGTGGCTGATCCCTTGGTTCCCAGCAACCTTGAGTCGGTAGGCCAGAGGCCCAGTCTCGCTGCACTCTTGAGTCCCCGTGGCTCAGACCTGGCTCTGGAACGAGCTTGGGGGTGGGATCCAGGCTCCTGAGCCAGAGCTTCTGGGCCGTGCCGAGGCCCTGACGCTGGCTGTGGGACCGACAGTGTGAGAGCTCCCTGGATGGCCTGTGTGTCATCTCCCCCTTATAAACAGGGCAACGAAGGTGTTTCCCAGCCCATGGACTGAGGAAGAGATGGCACCAGTGGTTAGCTCAGACCATGTCAGCCCTGCTCCTGTGCCTGCCACAGCCTGGCCAGGGGCTGAGGGACCCTGGCTCGGGGCGCTGGCCGGAGATCAGGGAGATGCGCTGACCTTGGCTCATGGGGAGCGGGAGCTGGTCAGGGCCTGGGCTTGGTGGGAGGGAGAAGGGGGAAGGGCGGGGATTGACTCCTGGAGGGATGGTTTTTCTACTAAATGAGCATCGCCTTGGTCTGAGGGAGAGGTAGGGGAGCCCCGTGACTGTCCTCACGAGGAGAGCGGACCCTCAGCACCGGGAAGCTGCTTGCTTCCTGCCATTCGTGGTGACGATGATGGACAGGGCTCAGTCCGAGGGCCAGGAGGGAGCGTGGGGGAAGGCACCCTCCTGGCCGCACGCGGCGGCTTCGGTCTGGGAGACCGGGGAGCTGGGGTCCTGGAACAGAGGAACGCGGCCACCCAGACGCCTGGGGGCCAGGCCAGCTCCCGGCTCTAAAACACCAGCTTCTTGGGAACCTCCCAGGGGAACTCGCTTCTTCCAAAGTGGCCGTAGCACGCGGTCTTCTGGTAGATGGCCTTCTTCAAATCCAGGTCCCTGCGAGGCCCGCAGAAGGAAGGGTCATTTCAATGGCAAGGCAGCAGTCTCTGAACTTCAGGTGCAGGAGCAGCAGCCTAGCCAGTCTCTGTGTGGAGTGTCACCACTCAGGCCAGTCCCCTAAATGTCCTGTCTACACTACACCAGGTCTGTGGGGTGGCCCTCACTGTCACTGGCCCCTGGGAAGCAGGCTCAGGGAACCCCCATCAGGGGCCAGGAGTGCATCTAGCCCCACAGTGCCTTTCTCCTCTGCACGCCACTGACCTGGCCCAGACTAGCACGCGCTAGAAAGCAGGGGAGGCATTAGAAGTGAGAACAGACAAGACTGGACTTGCTGCTGAATCCTTAGCCATTCAGCCTCTTACTTTCCTGAGGCCTCTCACCTGGAAGTGGCCTCCGCCGAGCCCCCAGGACCCCTCAACCTGAGCACCAGACGCCTGGGTGTGCATGTGCGGGCCCAGGGCTCGAAGGCCCCCTGCTGCTGGGGCTGCATGTCCTTCCTGCCTCCCGCCCTCTGAGCTGAGCTGAGCCGAGCTGTCATGCCCAGGAGCGCAGGGCGGCAGACTTACCGGACGATGACGCCAGGCCGGAGGTCGAAGTTCTTATTCACAATGTCCAGCAGCTCTTTCTCCGTCTTCTGCGAGGTTCCGTAGGTAAAGATGGAAATGGACAGCGGCGCGGCCACACCGATAGCATAGGAAACCTTTGGAGGGAGATGAGGGTCAGGCACCAAAGCCTGGGGGAGGGCCCTGACCCCACAGAAACCCCATGTGCTCAGGAAGGGCAGCTGGAACCACGCCCCACACTCCGCTCGCCCCACACGCTCCCTGCACCACTGTCTGCGCAGAAGCCCTGCCGGCCTCTGTACACAGCCCTCCCCCCGAGGCTCTGTCCTCTCCCTGGGCTTCCAGGCTCCTGGCCACAGTGCCCCCCCGACCCACAGAGCCACATTCTGTGGCCAGAGCTGGGGCCGCGGGCGTGGGGACCCACCTGCACGAGCACTCTCCGGCACAGCCCTGCCTTCACCAGGGACTTGGCCACCCAGCGGGCAGCGTAAGCCGCCGAGCGGTCCACCTTGGTGTAGTCCTTCCCGGAGAAGGCCCCGCCACCGTGCGCCCCCCAGCCGCCATACGTGTCCACAATGATCTTCCGGCCGGTGACGCCCGCGTCCCCCTGCAGAGGGAGAGGGGGAGACAGGGAGATGAGGGCTGAGCCCCAGGGCCTGGGAAGCGATGCTGTGATGGCCAGAACCACCACTGGGAAAGGGTGCCCTGCAGTGGACAGGGGCATGTTTCAAAGACTCCTTAGCTTGGTGTCGACCAGACACCCAGGCTCAAGCTCAGACCAGTCACTGACCAGCTGGAAGTCAGAAAGCCCTCCGAGCCTCATAAGAATGTGCAAACCATGAGCCACCTGGGATCGCAGGCAGCTCCCACTGCCTCCACTTTAGGAGCCAATCCTGGTGGAGAAATCCAACTGCAGGAGGCCACTGCCCTGTACTCCTCACGCCCTGAGCCGGCACCTCGCTGGTGCCACCCCGCAAACGCCATGGCGCCGGTTTCCTCAGGGTCTGCTCTGTGCCACACCAGGCAGAAAGGACGCCAGGGCTCTGTGTTAAATGGTCTGAGAAAAGTGCCTGCTGTTCCCCCGGTGAGAGGTCACGCTCACACTCATATTTCTAGCCTCGGAGAGGTCCTGCAAGAAGACACAAGCGGTGCTCCTGCCCTTCGCCTGGTCACAGGGCCCGTTAGGGGCTCCTGCTCTGTGGCAGCACAGCCACAGCTGCGGCCCCGACAGCGGCCGGCAGCCTTGCACAGAGGCTATGCCAATCGCCGCTGCCTGTTCCCACGGGGCAGGAGAGAGGGGGCAGCAGGGGTCCGCATAGTAAACTCCCTCCGTGGTGCCCACAGGAGTTGAAGGGAGCCTGAGGCAAAGACCTGTGAGCGCCACCTGGTAAAGGTCAGGCATTTGCGATGCGAGTTAGCTCATTAGCAGGTGAGGCAGCAGCCACTTGGGCAGGCATGGCATCAAGAAATGGGCTGTCTGGCCTTAGCCAGTTTGGCTCAGTGGGTAGAGCATCGACCCTCAGACTGGAGGGTCTCAGGTTCGATTCGGTCAGGGGTACGCACCTTGGTTGCAAGGCTTGATCCCCAGCCCGGGGCAGGGTACATGGAGGAGGCAATGAGGCAACCGTCAATGTGTCTCACATAGTCATTTCTCTCTCTGTCTCTCCCCCTCCCTTCCTCTCTCTCTCTCTCTCTCTCTCTCTCTCTCTCTCTCTCTCTCTCTCTCTCTCTGAAAATCAGTGGGAAAATATCCTCGGGTGAGGATTAACAACAACAAAGAAGAATGGGCTGTCTGAGCGGGAGGGCCAGGCCGCACAGGTGGAGGAGTCCTGGGGACACGTCCCCGATCGCTCAGGTACTGACAGGTACACAGTAAGCCTCGCAGAGAGGGAGCTGACTTCACAGTCATCCAAGGCCAGACCTGGCTGAGCCACACAGCCCCCCACAGCCTGTCCCCAGTCACAGACAAACCAGGGCCTCCTCCGAAGACCGGGGCGCACCTGGGGACCGCCGATGACAAAGCGCCCGCTGGGCTGCAGGTGGTAGATGGTGTCTTCGTCCAGGTACTTGGCGGGCACCACGGCCCGGATCACCTGCTCCTGCAGGGCCTTGCGCATGTCCTCCAGCGTGATGTCCTCGTTGTGCTGCACTGAGATGACGATGGTGTGGACACGCACAGGGATGACAGCGCCATTGTTCTGCACATACTGCACGGTCACCTGTCGGTCAGAAGGGCAGGAGGAGACTTGTGAGGCCCCGCCCTAAGCTCAGGACACATTGCTGCTGGGCACAGAGGCAGCCAGGGCTGCCAGGAGCCAGGGGCCAGCTGTTTTCACAGGGTCTTCAGGAAAGTTCGTCTGACACATTCTGGTATCTGAATAGCGGCCTAGTGCTAGGCAATGGCTGGGCGTCAGGAATAAGCTAGTCCCACCTGTGGCCACAGTTAGTGCCCCTTGGAGACTCAGGGTTTACACAGTTTCCTCTCTATGATCCATTGGAATCCTTTACTGCTATCTCAGAGGATTCTGGGTGCCAACAAATGTCCCCTGGCCTCTCTTGACCCTCTATGTCCCAGGGCCAAGGACACAGGAGTCTGCGGGCCACGGACCAGCTGTCCTAGCCTCTTAGGGGAAGAGTTCTGGAGGCAGGCAGGGCCAGTGACTTTTGGCTGAGGCAGAGGGAGCTGCCAGCTCTGGGTGTTCTGGCAAAGGAGAGGGAAGCAGAGAGCCCCCGAGGGACAGCACCTGCCCTCAGCACCTTCGCAGATCAGGCCTCAGGGACAGATCCAGCATCTGCCACCAGTGGGGGCCAGTCTGCCCATTCTGTGCATGACCAATGACTCTGTGAGCCATTCCAGCAGGGCAGGCCTGTGAGCTCCATTTCACACATGAGAACATGGCTATGGGAAGTGAAGCAACTTGTCCGAAGCCACACGCTAGCCACAGAAAAGCTGAAGAGACAAACCCACTCTGCCTGGTCCACAGCTCGTGCCATTCCCGCAGCAGCATTGGCGAGATGCTTCTCCCACCCTCTCCTAACACCTCAGTGAGCAGAAGAGCCGGTGTCCCCGCCGGGCGGGCTGTGAGACGGAGAGCAGCCGGGGCAGCCAGGCTTGCAGGTGAGAGGGAGGAGCGGTGAGCATGGCAGACTAAGCTGGTTAAAGAGACGGGCATGGACCGAGCATGCACTGTGTGCCAGAAACCATGCCAAAAGCTCTAGGGGGCTGTTGCCAGCCCTATCTTAAAGACAAGAAAGCTGAGGTCCAGAACATAAATGCCTTGGTCAAGGTCACACAGCCAGCAGAGCTGGGCTCTGACCTGGAGCTGTGTGGCCTGGCGGGGGCTCTGCCCAGCAGAAAACTGTCACTGAAGACTCTCAGGGCTGTGCTGAAGCCACAGGCCCCATTGCCACCCCGTCAATGTGAACCCACAAGAGCAGCACCCCGAGGGGCTCTGGAGCACGGGGGGCCTGCGGGAGTGAGGCTATGCCAGGAGCCCCGGTAGAGACACTGTCTGCAGGCACAGCACTGCTCCCCCCCAGGGCCTCGACAGGACCATAGGGCAGCAAGCAGTGCCCTTCTGGGGCTGTGCCTGCAGCCAGACTCTGCCAGCCCCAGGCTCTCGATGTCCATGCAACACTGGGCTTGTGTCCCACTCCCACTCTGTGTCCTTCCTGGTCCAAAGAGCAGCAGGCTGAGGTTAGGAGAAGGGGAGAAAGAACCCTGCCCACATGACGCCTTGTAAGATGGGGCAATGCACACCAACATCTGGAGACTGAAACAACACTTAACTGCTGGGCTGTGCACATGCAGGGCCCTGTGGGAGGGGCTGGAGTTGGGGGCTCCCAGATGGGGGGCCCTTCTGGCTCTAGGACTAGATCTGCCCTTGAGGCCACAGGAGAAGGCTCGCATCCTGAGAAGCAGCTAAAGCCCATCTCCTCTGCCCCTGCCCACGACCTCCCCTCTGCCGAGAGCCCCCAGGAGGTGGACAGGAGGAGGCGGACAGGGGGCCTCCAGGTGTGTGAGCGCTGCCATCACCCTGGGCCTCAGACACAGACCTCATGGGGATCTCCACTCTGCAGGGAGCCCAATGGTCAGGGCCCAAGAAGCCAGAGGCAGGAATAGCAAAGAAAAGGTGTTTTTATGAGAAAGAAAGGGAAAGGCCAAACAGATACAGATGATCCCTTGCTCAGGCGGCATCCAGATTTTGCTAAAGATGTGGAGACCTGTCTTGGTGGCAGGGTAGTAACCGCAAGTTTGAAATCTGCTCAGAAGTTTGTGGCAGGAACTGGGAAATTCTATGACCAGAGTCAACATATGCTAAGAAGAAAAAAAAAAATTATTTTTCTTAAGAATCTTTTTTCCATTTTCTGGTACTTTTGAAATGTTTCATGATAAAATGGGTGGAGAAAACATCTAGAGCTGAAGGTTTTTCAAATAAATGGCTCTTTTCAAAATCCACAATTCCTTGAGTCCAGACTGCACATTTTGGCCTTAACGGGAATGAGAGGAGTGGGGGCTTGAACTGTGTGTCTGGAACCAGGAGGTGAAGAAGGGGAGACCCACCTGAGTCTTGGAGTCGGGCCTGAGCCAGGGGAGCACCCCCGAGCGCCTCAGCTCTGCCATCCGGGCGTTGAGCTTGTGAGCAAGAATGATGGTGAGGGGCATGCACTCCTCCGTCTCGTCGGTGGCGTAGCCAAACATCAAGCCCTGCAGTGGGAAGAGCCCACCGAGCCAACCCGCTTCAGACAGGGCAACTGCCTTCAAGTCTACCCTCCGCTGCCCTCCAACCGCACTCGGATGCCTGGAGCACTCAGCATTCACGCTGGGCCCTGTGGAGGGGGTGACACGGACCCTGCCACCCAACATCCTAAGAGGGGAGGGAAACAGCCAAATGGGCATCGGCAACCCCAGCCTTCCACAGCCCGCGGCGCCCTCACACCCCTGCCCTGAAGTAGGGGTGTATGGCTCCCTGGGATCCTCTAGGGCAGTGTTTTCCAAAGTGCGGTACGCGTACCCCCAGGGGTACGGGAAGTTTGGTGGGGGTACGCGTTGCCCCGGAGCTTGGTGGGGATATGCACTGCACCATGCTTAGCTGTGCCTAATTCTACGTTCTCATGAGTACGAGGGGTACTCAGCGTTACGAAAATTATATAATAGAAGGGGTACACATACGTCAAAAGTTGGGAAACACTGCTCTAGGAGAAGGGTCACCCCACAATGTGATGAACCCGTTATTCAGGAACTTCCCCAGCTAGCTCCTCAACACGGGCAGAGGAGGGCCAGAGCGGCCGCAGTGCCCGTCCTGCCCCCGCACCCAGTCAGCGCGCCCACCTGATCTCCTGCACCGACGTCCTCTTCGTTCCTGTCCAGGTGGACGCACTGGGCAATGTCAGGGGACTGCTGCTCCAGCGCCACGAGCACATTGCAGGTCTTGAAGTCAAAGCCTGGGCGGAAGGGAAGCAGGCCCGAGGGGACACGTCAGACATGGTGGCTGCGAGCGTCCGGGACATTCAGGTCCTGGCGGGCTCTTGTGTCGGGGATGGTCTCTGGTTAGCTGGGACCTGCCCGGGCCCAGAGCCACTGCCAGAATAGGGAAGGCCCAGTGTCCTCACCATCATATAAAACTCTTTAAGCCAAACAAAGTGCTGCCCTGCGCACTGACTGTACTAAGTCACAGCTTGGTTAGAAACACATGCCCTACCGAGAACTGCTGTACAGGAAGCAGCAGCGCCAGCTGCCCCCCTAAAGCACGGGGGAAGGCTCACGCCTGCCCGGGGCCGCCCCCAGAGGCACCTCCCAGGACTCAGGTTGGATGACTGCACTGAGGGAACCCGGGCCCGGCCGCCCTGCCACCCGAAGCCGGACACGGGCCTAATCCAAGTACGGTCCTCAACTTGGGATCTTCAACCTCACGACGTTGCCAAAGTGATATGCATTTAGTAGGAATTGCAAACTTTGCTCTTTCCCTGGGCTGTGGATATTCAGCACCTGGTATCTCAGATGCCGAGCGGCGAGCCTCAGCCCAGGCGGTCATGGCATCAGGAGGGTCCACAACCCACACTCTCCAGTCGCTGTTGGACCATGTGCCCGATGTGGCTACTGTAGGTGTTCTGAGACGTGTGAGGCCGGCGAGGCACATGAGACATTCACAGGTTAGCTGCTCTAAATGCATTGTGATTTGCGACGTCTTCAGCTTAGGGCGGGCTTATCAGGATGTTACCCCATCATGATTCGAGGAGCATGTGTATTGAGCACAGTGAACAAATAAGGTGTGCCTGACTGTTCAGAGGCTCCCAGCGCCAGGGCCTCTCAGCCTGAGATGTGGTCCCAGGGAAAGGCCACACCTGCGGAGCGGAGCCCTGGCTGCCCGCCCTGCAGCTCGGCGGGCACAGAGGAGGAAGCAGGTGCCACCGTCTGGGGCCTGGGCAGAGAGTCTGGGCTTGCAACAGCCCAGCCTGGAGCCACAAGAGGGAGCACCATGCACAGACAGCACATTCTTTTCTCTGCTGGGTCTCCTACGTGCAGGTCTCAGCCCCGCGTCCCTGTGACTGAGGAGCTAAGGCAAACGGCCCCACCAAAGGGCCAGGTATTAGTGACAAGCTGGCTGTCACCCTTTCCCAGTCTCTTCTCCTATCCACGCGGCCAGAGTGGGCCAGCTAAAGCAAACAGACAAGCCAACAATGCAGACTCGGTCTATTGTATGTGCACACACTTCAGGCGAGGCCCTGCCACCACACGAAGTAAAACGGGCCTCCACAGCGGGACCCCTTTCGCCAACGTGAACTCGGGGTAGCCTTAAAGAGGCCATGTCCTTACCTCCCGAGGTCTCAGTGGAATGCTCCTCCTCCGACCCCCACCCCACACACCTGAGTCAGGCGGCTCTCAGTCAGTATCCCTGGGCCCTCCGGCCACTCTTCCTGGTGAGTTATGCCACCGACTCCCTGCCGGGCACCTCATGCTGCATCATCTGATGCCAGGCAGTGCCCCCACCCCATGGACACCTCTGTCCTGTGCCGCTTCCTGGGCCCAGAGTCTGTGTCTAAAGGCACCAACCAATGAACAACCTTTAGAGAGCTGCCAACGACTCGCTATTTTGCAATAAACACCTCGCATTTGGCCTAAATCACTGTCTAAATAATGACGCTTCTTAACGCTGAACACCAACCCAGGGTGTCACGTGACCTGGGAAAGCGGAGTGGCTCTCTCACTTAGAAAGGTGCCACAGGTCCCCCAGCCTGCCCTGACCCACCAAGATGCCGCAAGCCACCCTAAACAGCCAGTAAGTGAGCCCTCAGCATCCGGCCCTCACCCTGCCTGCCCTTTGATGCCCCTGTAGGAGGCCTTTTCTGGCCTCTGTTCACTGCTCCTCCTCTACTCCTGCCAGGGCCTGTGCCCTCCCTGGGTTTCGGCTCCCTCCTGCCTGCCTCCTTTGCCCACTCTCAGGACCAGTTCTGGGTAAAGTCCTCTTCTTGTCCAGAAGGGGCAGTAGCACAGTTCAGCAGAAGGACGGGAGGCCCAAAGGAGCAGCCACGCACTGTCTGTGTCACCTCACAGAAACCATTTACATCTGGAAGCCCGGATTTCCTCATCTCAGAGACGCACAGCAGGGTCCTCAAACAGTTAGCACATTGGGACCAGGTGTTTTATTGCTGGCTTTACCCAGTGGCCACGTAAGTTTCTAACGAACTAGTACAAAAAGCACTTGTTAAAGGCATGCTTTAAAATTAAATACCTATTGCATTTTGAAGTTATTTACTACATGGTCTTACAAGCTAATATCTTTTTAAAGAATTCTCATGATTGGCTAGAAGCCTTTAGAACAGAAAACACGAGAATTCTCATGATCCGTCCGCAATGTGTAATTAAGATGACAGACCACTGCCAATGCCAGCCCAGTTCTTTCTCTTGCAAAGTTCCCAGAGGGCAGGACACTAAGCAAGGGCAGAGTTACGATGGATGGACTAGGCGGTTCCGTGGGCCGTCACTGGGCTGCCTACTGCTGCCAGGCTTTGGCCCCCGATCCCTGACAGGCGTCCCGAAGACTTTCCCGGGGTGGCCTGTGCCCATCCAGATGCCTCCGATGTGACAGCTTAGGGGGCCCTCCCACAGAGACTGGGCCCAGCCTTACCCTTGGCAGAGTCGTCGTAGCCAATGTGCTTGATGGTGTCTCGCACCACCCGCTGGTAGTCCACCATGGCCACGGAGGTGATCTCCCCGCACAGCAGCACCATGCCTGTCTTGCACACCGTCTCTGGAAGGGAAGGAGAAAAAGGAGTGACCAGCGCCAGCACAAGGACGCCCAATGGCTAGACCTCTCCCCGTGCTGATAAAGGAACTCACAGCCAACCTTACCAGACAGGAGTGAGTGCCAGCACAATTGCTGGCCATCTTCAATGCCCCGAGAACTATACTTTGGAAAGAATTGGTTACACCTGAGTTTTTGTACAGTTTTCGTATCACACTTACTACTGTACTTATGTGATCTTGAACAACTTAGCCTCTCTATCTAACTCCTCGACTGTTAGGTGAGGCTAAGACTGCTGTGTGGATTAAAAGGAGACCATGACGCATGTGGTCAGCCTGTGTGATGCCCCCCCCCTTCCCCGCTCAGGGAGTGGGATCCTGAACAAAGAATTGGGTAACTAACTGTTCACAAAGATGTCGGGGTGAAGTCTACTCTCAGAGGGGCACGTAGTCCTCAATCCAGGGGCCAGGGTGGCACTGGAGAGGGAAAGCTTGTCTGTGCTACAGACAGGCCAGGGTACCAGCAGGACAGCAGGCTGTGGTCTCCACAGTGGGCATCCCTACCCTGTGACCATGGCCAACGCTCTCATGCAGCTGCACGCACTGTCCCTCAGCAAAGTGAGAGGACTCGCCCTCACCACCTCGGGGCCCTCCTGACTGCAGTGGTGAGGGCTTCACCTCAGGCAAAGGACTCAGGCTGCCCTGAGGGCTCCGGCGAGGGGCCCAGGGGCTTCTTACCGCAGGCCACCTTGGCATTGGGGTCCTGCCGGAGGTGGGCATCCAGCACCGCGTCACTGATCTGGTCACAGATCTTATCTGGAAAAGAATGAACACGTGAAGGAATCACGAAAATATTAGGTACAACAAATGAAATGCTGAAAGAATTAGCTATTTTGTCAGTTTATATTTCAAATCTGCCTAAATGGACACTTTTTTAAATGTAAAAAGTTATTTCTGCCTAATTTTGTCTCATTTTATACGATGAATAAAATTATAAAATTCCCTAAAAAAAAAGAAATATATTCCAAAACTAGTTCTGAGTCTACAGCAATTTACACACACACACACACACACAACACACACACACACACACTTCTAACTAAAAGTCCCTCATTCCTCAACATATTCCCTTTCATTCTAGCATCCAGGAACATCCTAGACATGGAAATTAAAACGGCTACTAACATTGGTGCGATCAGGTGCCAAGGTGTGACGTCAGAAGGGACAGCCCGATGCAGGTTCCACAGGATGCAGCATGTGGTGTAGAACATGCCAGCCCAGCCCCCGCAGCATGGGCTCTCTGAGAGAACCTCGGAAGACCAGTGCTGATTTGCAGAGATCCCCTCCAGCAGCTCTCAGACCCTTCCCAGGCCACTCGGCCTCCCAAAGGCCAGCTGGGCCGACCTCCTCAGTCAAGGGGGACTGACAAGAGTTCAGCATGAGCCGGCATTTGACCTCACTCTGTGTTTGCCTTAAAGACCCTGCATGGCTGGGCTCATAGACCTTGGATGGCATCATGGAAAATCTACTCTTGCTTTGGAGTCCTGTGAACTGTCAATGTTCACAAATTCCAAAATAAAAGTGACATCTATTTACACATATTAATCTCATTAATGTCCAAAATATCCATAGAGTCTACTCTTAATAAATTAATAAGATTTTTCCAGTTTTACTGAGAAGCAATTGATCTATACAAATGTTGTGTATAAACAATTTGATGAGTTTGGCCATATGAAAACTGACATAAATTGTCAGTTTTCAACTGCTCCCAAAAATGCATGTTACCATTACCATATCAAGCTAATTAACATTTCTATCACCTCCAAAAGTTTCCTTGCATTTCTCTCTCTTTTTTTAAATTTTTAAATTAAAAACTTGGATCCAGAATTAAGCAGTTCTACTCTTAAAAGCACATCTGTAATTAAAAATGTCAATTTGTCATTTAAGCTAAATTCTTCAATTTTTCCTTGCAGAAAGTGCTATTTTAAACCTTGAAGGTATTATGCTAAGTAATATAAGTCAAACAGAGAAAGCAAATAACATATCATTTTACTAATATGTGGATCTCAAAAAAAAAAACAACACACAGAAATAAACTCATAGTTGCCGAAACCGGTTTGGCTCAGTGGATAGAGCGTCGGCCTGCGGACTGAAAGGTCCCAAGTTCGATTCCGGTCAAGGGCATGTACCTTGGTTGGTAGCACATCCCCAGTAGGGGGTGTGCAGAAGGCAGCTGATCGATGATTCTCTCTCATCGATGTTTCTAACTCTCTATCCCTCTCCCTTCCTCTCTGTAAAAAAATCAATAAAATATATTAAAAAAATAATAATAAAATAAGAAATAAACTCATAGATACAGAGAACAAACTGATGGCTACCAGATGAGAGGAGGGTAGGGTGCTGGGTGAAAAAGGGGTAGGTGTTAAGAAGTACAATTTGGTAGTTACATATGAGGATGTAAAGTACAGCATAGGGAATATAGTCAATAATATTGTAGCAACTATAAATAGTCAGATGGGTATAGATTTATCGGGTGATTATTTAGTAAGTTATATAAATGCCTAACCAGTATTCTGTATACTTAAAACTAATGTAATATTGAATGTCAACTGTAATTTTAAAATTTTTATAAAGAAAAATAACAGTACATTTGAGTTTTCCTATTCTCCTGCTAGTGGCAAATCTGGTTGTAAATTTAAATTTGTCTGAGTCATAGCCTCTACACACCCTCTCAAGGAAGGCCCCCTGCTGCTCAAACATCCACTTTAGGCTGACCCATCAGGACTCTTGGGAGCCGGTCTCGATGACTCTGCTTACTTAAAGGACATGGGTCACATGTTCCCAATGCACACAGAGAAATGGGGTAATGGGATATTAGAGATTTTAAAGCTGGAGTTGAGCTAGGGTATCAAGATAGCTTGACAGTTGGCCAGTGTGTCTCAGTGGTTGAACGTTGATCTATGAAACAGGAGGTCAGCTCAATTCCTGGTCGGGGCACATGCCTGGGTTGCAGACTCAATCCACAGTTAGGGGCATGCAGGAGGCAAGTGATCAATGACTCTCTCTCATCATTGATGTTTCTATCTCTCTCTCTCTCCCTCTGCCTTCCTCCCTGAAATCAATAAAAATATATTGTAAACAAAGATAGCTTGACAAGGAGGTTCTTCAGAACTGTTTCTTTAGGCTTTGGAAAGTTTTATCATTATCACTTAGTAGCCTTAAGATAGCTAATAGTTGGTTTTGTTGGAAATTAAAAAAGAGGCATTAATTTTATCTTTCTGGTGGAGAGGAATTTAGCACTGGAATAACAAGCAGAAAGTCACCAGACCTTCGTGGACACTGACTGACTTATGTGGACAGTTAATTTTTAGTGGCAAGTGAAAGGAAAATCAGACAAATTGAAGGTCTGCCAATTCAGTAGACAACACAACTAACTGATTGGCTAGAATTCTCCTTCTCTGTCCACTGAGCACCTTGTTGTGAGTACCATGGGACCACTGGCCACTGCATGCCAAAACACCCACCTCCTCTGGGTGGAGCAAATCCTAACCTACCGTATATATGGCTTTCAAAACCAGGGAGCTGTCCAGAATTTGCCACACATAGCAATGAAGCTGAGATTATGAGTACGGTAAACCTAGAAACTTTGTAAAATTATGCTTAATAAAAAAGATTCTTCACATTGAATTAAGTCACAAGGTTTCTCAACAGCGCCACTATGGACATTCAGTGATGGAAATTTTTTGTTGTGGGAGATGGACTTGTGTACACAGGATGCATAGGAACATGCCGAGCCTCTATCCATTGAATGGCTATTAAAACCCCCTTGGTTGTGACAATCCCAAATGTTTTCAGACATTTTAAAGTGTCCTTGAGGGGAAGGGGACAAAATTGCCCCAAGTTGATAGCCACTGGCTAAAGCATATGGAGATATTTGAGTGTATTGAGATATTTAAAGCTGTGTTACAAGGTACAGAAGTTCAATCTCTCTGAGAAAGAACAAGAAAGAGAAGGGGGGGGGGGAGTAAGACTTGGTGATGAGTTACCAAAAACTTCAACTGGCCCAATGGATTTTGGAGAAGTGCTTAAAGACATAAATCAGTGAGTCTAGCCCCAGGGTTTTCCTGGAGCAATGGTCCTCACAGTAAGATTCCCACACTAAAACTAGCAACATCTCCTGGGAACTTATTAAAAATGCACATTCTGCCCAGTTTGCATGGCTCAGTGGTTGAGCAACAACCTATGAACCAGGAAGTCACGGTTCGATGTCTGCAACCATTGATTCTCTCTCATCATTGACCTTTCTATTTCTCTCTTCCTCTCCCTCCCTCTCTGAAATCAATAAAAATATATTTTTTAAAAGAAAATTCTTTTTAAGAGTTTCTTTTAGCTAAAACTGACATTAATTGTCAGTTTTCAACTGCTCCCAAAAATGCAAATTCTTGCGCCTTCCCAAGACCTACTAAATCGGAGAGTTTGGGGTGAGGCCCACCACTCTGCATTTTACCCCCAGAGTTTGAGAACCACTTTTCTAAACGCTGAGGTTCTGATCCTGGTCTCCACCGTCACCATGAAAGACTCTCTCACTTCCCCAACTCGCAGCCCACCTACTTCTTAGGTCCAAAAGAATGCTTGAATTTTCTTCCTCTTCAAAAAGTCATCTGCACTTTCTTTTATAACACACTGGACACTTCCAGAACCTAGAGCTCCATCCCAATAGAGGATGTACTGCCACTTATTCCTAAACTACATGTGCTTTACACGAAAAATTTAGTGACCCTTGATCTTATTTGAGGGAACATTTTCTGTTGACTTAAGCTGCTCAATGATAATAAATTAAAGATTTACTAATACACACACACACACACACACACACACACACACACACAGTCTGAGTGGCCAGATTACTATGATCTCTGAATGCATAATAATCTGGCCACTCAGTATATAGCCTATATAATAAAAGGCTAATATGCAAATTGTCCCCTCGACCAGGAGCTCGACCAACAGGCAGGCCGGCCAACCACCTGTGTCCCCTCCCCCAGATCCCACCCATGCATGAATTCTAATACACACATACACACACACACACACACTGATTGGCCAGATTATTATATGTTCAGAGATCATAACAATCTGGCCACTCAGTGTGTGTGTGTGTGTGTGTGTGTGTGTGTGTATATATATATATATATATATATATATATATATATATATATATATAATGTTTGTATCTGATGATAATTTTCTGTCCATGACTATCTTCAGACCACCAGCTGCGTGGTCTCTGCTGCAGCCCCACCACGCTGAGGGCTGATGCCCGTGGTGGTGGCAGCAGGCTCCCTCAGCTTCATTCACTTGCGATGCATCACTGGCATGTGATGATCTGTTTTACAAAACCACAAATAGAGGGGGAAAGCACTTCACAGTGTTTCTCCAGAGACCCCCGAGACTCACTAACACAACTGCTTTAAGACCTCTAGCCAAAGTGACTCCCTCGGCACAGGTCACACCGGGCCGGTACAGCCTACTCACCAGGGTGTCCCTCTCCTACGGATTCCGAGGTGAACATGAAGGCCCCTTCTTCATTGAGAGAGGAGTCATACATGCCATCCACCGGCCCGTTCATCTTCTCACAGGTCTCCACGCAGCTTCCTCAAGGCAACCAACCGTTCTTCTAATGCTGTGGCTGTGAGTTCTTCTGTTTTCTCTACACCCAACAGGCCTGTGGTTGGCAGGAGCACAGGGTCACTTCTGCCTAACTGCTGGTGAGCATTCGAGAGCAAGGCAAGAATGTGGGAGAAGGAAGGGACTGAAGGTGGCAGTGTGGCTCCCTGGACTGGCCAGGGCTGGCTCCTGAGTGCCTCCTATATATGGAAAAGGGAAAGTGCCTGCACATCATGTGAGAGAACTGGAGGAGCCCATTTCCTGGGAGGGGTCACCTCACCTGGAGGGACTTCCATCTTGAGCTCTGACTTCCCGGCCCTGGGCATCTGGTCAGCGGTGGGAGAGAAGGCTGCAGAGACCCTGTGGAAGGGACGCTCTGCAGCCGGACTCCACGCTGCTCCAAGGTCAACATCCCACCTTGAAGAGTGGGGGCCATGGTTCCTCAGGGACACACAGGCAGCAAAAAAACCATTTTCCAGAGATCTGGTTTAGGCTGTGATTGCAACACAGGGTGCCCTTGACTGCTGGGAGCTCCCCTTCTCCCCCACAGCCTGTCTGGATGGACTCGTCCCTTTCTCCCGCCTTCTCAGAGCGAGAGCGTGCATCTGGACTCAGAGGCCACGGGGGTGTTACACAACAGGTTCATTTTGAGCCCACGTTTTCCTGCTAATAGAAATCACCCAAACTGTAAACGTCTCCAGGGCGCTGGCAATCACCTGGAGAAGCAAGATGTTTAAAACGTACCTGGGCTTTGCGGGGAGGACTCTGAAGAGACAGGTTTGTTACAGGGAACCTGTCTGAATTCTGTGTCCCAAAGCTTCCAGGTATTAAGTTAGACATCTACATAGGCAGCCCCACACACCTGATAAGCATCCTGCTCTCCTAACGCTGCATTATTTTTTTGCTTTGACCAAGAAAACAATAAGACAGAATGGTATCTTTAACCACTTCATGCACTAAATCATGGCATTTCTCCCTTCGTTCTCTGCCACTCTCAGTTCTCGCTGCATCCTCAGGCCCCAGGAAAAATAGGGAACCAAGGTCACAGGAAATGGGCAATGGGTGAAGAAATCATTAGAAAGCAATACAAAATAATCAACCAAAATCTGATGCATCTAAGGTTGGACTGTGGAAGCAAAAGGTAGGATGTAATCATCCCAACTAACAACTCTGGAGACCAAATCCCCTCTGTGCTTATGAGACTTAAAACCCTTATGAGATTTATGAGACTTAAAAATGGGGCTCCAAATCTTGACTTTTGCCAATTGCTCGGCGGCAGCAGCATTCTCCCTCCAGGCAATTAAAACCACGTTGACGTGACCTCTTCAGAGATGAAGTGAGAGACTTTACATACATGGATTGAGTCAGAGGCATTGAACAAGTGACTGGAATGCTCAGCACAGGCTGCTGACCGTTCAGAGAGGAGCGAGCAAGAGAGGGATGGAAGAAGGACGAGTCAAATAGGGACTTTAGACGACAGTGCCTGGAGTTCTCCTGTTTGCGCTAACTCTGTTTCAACATCGCTGTCCCTTTGTACATTCCTCCGGGTACATTGGTTCCAGGCCTTGAGGCCATGTGAGCTAATGTTTAATGTGAACTGTGCGCCGAGGTTACCCCAGCAGTCAGAACTGCCGCCAATCTGTTCTACTAGCAAATGTGGTGTAAGGGCAAGGTGAAGTTTAAGGATGACGTACCCACCACCTTTCCAAGAGCTAACAAGACATCTGCAAACAAAGCAGCCCAACTGCCCTCTGAATCCAAGATGAATAGCATCATGGGGTGGGGAGCCCTGTGTGGGGGGAAAGAGGGGTAGCACTTTCAGAAGGCTCCCACAGCCTGGACACACATTCGCAGTGCGGGAAGGACCTGGGAGAGATCTACCCTGTTTCCCCAAAAATAAGACAGTGTCTTATATTAATTTTTTCTCCCAAAGTTGCGCTAGGTCTTATTTTCAGGGGATGTCTTCTTTTCGGGGAAACATGGTAGTTCAGTACCTGTCTCACAAAAGAGTCCACTATGGCACCCCCACTAATTACCCCCACGCCACCTCAGTCCCTCGGCGGCTCAGTGCTAACAAGAAGCACATCCACATGGTGGCTCAGGGGGAGGGGAGCAGGCATCCTAACCCTCCCAGGCTGCTGGTTCCTCACCAATTAAACAAGTGCCTGCCTCACAGTGTTGTGAGAACTACATGGCATCATGTAGGTATGAGAGAAATGAGCATAGTGCTACCCACAATAAGAGTCTGACAAATATCACCTAGTACTTGTAAGTACCTTCTGTACACAGATACATTTGATCCTGAACAAAAGGAGATGATCGTACACGAGCATTTCTCGGAGATACTGCAGGATGGGCTCCAGGCTGCCCACCACCCCCACAATAAAGCGAGTATCGCGATAAAGTGTGTCGTCATTTTTTGCTGGTTGAGGGTCTTGCTTTCAATTTGTAAACACACACACACACACACACACACACACACACACACACACACACCATACTGGGAAGCGCAACAAGGCAAACGCAGTATGTTGTTTTCTTCCTGTGCTTATGTCGCTCCATGCACACAGACCTCGTTTTCAGCACTTGAACAACATCCTCCAATAAGGTGACCATAAATTATCGAACCACACATCCCCTGATGGCTCCTTGTAACTTCTCTGCTTGCCGCCGCTAAGATGCGACAGGGAAGATGCTTAGTCGTTGGCATGCTTTTGTAAAAAGATAAAATGCAAGCCCCTGCCAACGCTGACCTAGCCCAAACATGTCCATTTTGTCGTACATTTTTACCAGTCAGATAAAAGAATTAGCACTTCAACCAAGAGTTAAAACCACGGCTTCAATCTGGCCCCTTTGGCAAGAACTGGAAGATCTTGGCAAAGATGTACTTACTTTGAGTTGAACCCACAAGGACTTCAGAGCCCTAACGTGTCATCGCACACGCAAACGAAAGCCTGCCTTACGCACACGCTGTCCTGTCCTCCCTTACGCAGGAGCTGTCCCGACGCCACCTCGGCCGCAGCAGGACCAAGTCCAGCCCAGCGTGCCAAAGGCTGCAGGTGATCGCACTCCACTCCGCGCGGCAACCTTCACCTCTGCATCCTCGCCACCTGGCCTCTGCGGAAACGTGGCTTCGAAAACAAATCCCACGTTCGGTCAGGTTTACCCTGAGGAACCTCTGGGTGTATAACACCAGCAGGGAGACCCTGCTTCCAATGGGCAGGGTATGCACACCACGCTGAGCAGCTCAGGAGGTCTCTGAGAGCACCGGGCCCTGGCACTGCCTGGGGCCGAGCGCTGGTGGGTCCCTCCGACCCCTGGGCGGCCATGCCTGCCGGAGACCCACAGCCAGAAGGACGCTCTGGGACCCGATGTTGGAGGCACAGGCATAGTGTGCACCCATCTCTTCAACACCGTCTCCGTGCAGACCTTGTTCATCTTCGGTGAGAAGCTCCCCAGCTGACAGGGTATCACACCACTGAAGTATTTTCAACATTTACTCCTTTGCCCTCATTAATTTAAGCACAGACTTTCCCCCTATATGTTATCCTGGAGCATAAGTATTTATATAAGAAATATAAAATTGATCCAGGCAGTACATTTTTTAAAATGTTAGGTAATTTTAGCAACATGTCACCTTCCTTCAATAAAAAAATTCAAATAGACACCCTCCCTGTAGCAGCTGTTCTGAAAAAGAATAAAGAAACACAGAATGGTTTCCCAGAAAAAGCAGAACCTGAGCTGGACCCAAAGGAAAGACGGGATCTTAAAAAGCAGCAGGCAGCCGAAACCGGTTTGGCTCAGTGGATAGAGCGTCAGCCTGCAGACTCAAGGGTCCCAGGTTCGATTCCAGTCAGGGGCATGTACTTGGTTGCAGGCACATCCCCGGTAGGGTGTGCAGGAGGCAGCTGGTAGATCGATGTTTCTAGCTCTCTATCCTTCTCCCTTCCTCTCTGTAAAAAATCAATAAAATATATTTAATTTAAAAAAAAAAAAAAAAAAAAGCAGGCAGACAGGAAGCTGGGTCGGGTGTGAGATAGCTGGTCAGGGCTGGGAAGCCAGGCGGGCCAGGAGCTGGGCTCAGAGCCGTAAGCACCCTGCAGAGGTAGTAAGTGGGAGTTTCTGCCAGACAAGAACATCCATGCTAGAGTAAAGGAAGAAGATTCCAGATCAGATATAAGAGTTAAAGCTTCCCCTTGGGAATATTAAATGTTGACACCAAAATGGAAAACAGCTTGGCAGTCCTCCAATAAGTTAAATATAGAATGATCACATGACCCAGTAATTCCACTGCTAGTTATATGTCCAAGAGAAATAAAAGCATGTGTTCATACAAAACCTTATACAGTAATGTTCATAGCAGCATTATTCACAATAGCCAAAGTACAGGAACAAGTCACATATCCATGACTAGACAACTGGATAAGCAAAATAGTCATGCAATGGAATGTTATTCAGCCATAAACAGGAATGAGGTCCTGACACGTGTTACAATATGTGAACTTCAAAAACAATGTGTTAAGTGAAGTAAACCAGACATAAAAGCCACATACTATCTGTTTTCATTTATACAGAATGGCCGTGAAGGTAAATCCATAGAGACAGAAAACATCAGTGTTTTCCAGGGGCAAAGGGAGTGTGAAAAATGATTGTTTAATAGGTTTTGGGGGGAGTGATGAAAATGTTTTGGAACTAAATAGAGGTGACAGTTGCACAACATTGTCTGTGTACTAACATGTCACTGAAATGTGCACTTTAAATGCTTAGTTTTTGTTATGCAACTTTTATCTTAATAAAAAGGCAAAAGATTAATGAACACAGGATTCAGAATTATAACTAGTCTGAGTGGAGGCATGATGGTGAGTGAGACAGGGGGGAAGGGGCCTATTATTAGATATAGGTTAAGTCAAGAGTCAGCTTATATTCCCACAACTAACATCATACCCAATGGGGAAAGCTGCA